GATGTTAAACCAGAGCTTTGATTAACATGCTAATCTCTGTCTCAGAGTTTGTATCCCAGGATATCCTCCCAATGATAGTATGCCTAGGTAATGTGGACATTTCATCATCTGTTAGGTAGAACCAAACTGCTCTTAAAACAAGTCCTGTAATCTCATCAACAACACGGAAAAAAAAATGTCTCTTTGCTTGTACCTTAACTGCCACTATAAGATATTTATATTTAAGTTTACATTTAAGTAAATTTTGGGAAAAATTTGTTTTAGAACCTACTACTGATAATTCTGACACCAGTACAATTCCTAACTACTGTGTTCTAAATACGTACACCCACAGATAAATGGAGCTCTCACCCCTCATCAAAGAAGCTTCTTTTTGCAGCAGATAGAAAACTCTTACAGAGATCCACACAAGTGTTCAAAACACAGAGAACAATTGACCTAGGGTACCCATCCCCAGCGGATACATCCACAATGCAACCCATACACCTCAGGCCCAGGGAACATCTCAGAAGAAGAGGTGGAAAGATTGTAAGGCTGGAGGACCAAGAATGCTGTGAGACAGTGTCTTCTGTGTATAACAGGGAGCTGTAGCCATAAAATCTCAACAATATGTACACCTAAACAAGACCTACATCATCAACACTAATTGACATGTTAACATGGATGGGGAAATCTCTCAAGGCCCCACCCCAAATAAAGAGCAATGGGCAATTAATGGCAGTTGAGAGTGAGAAAATCCATCTTCTCCAAGGACAAGTCTGTGAAATGTCATTCAATCCCAAGTGGTCTACCTTAAACACATATACATATAAGCAATACTAAATGGACTTACCAGTTCTATTTATAAATTATAATTTATAAAACTTGTTTTTTTTTTTTTTTTTGGTTTTTCGAGACAGGGTTTCTCTGAGTAGCTTTGCGCCTTTCCTGGAACTCACTTGGTAGCCCAGGCTGGCCTCGAACTCACAGAGATCCGCCTGGCTCTGCCTCCCGAGTGCTGGGATTAAAGGCGTGCGCCACCACCGCCCGGCAAAACTTGATTTTTTTAATTTACAAAATTTATAATTAAAGAGAGGTCATGAATTTGAGGGGGAGGGATGGGAACATGGAAGAGATTGGAAGGGAAGTGGTAAAAATGATGCACATTGAGTTCTCATGGATGAAATTCTATAAAACAAAATTTAAATTATTGAAAGTGTTATAAGGGCTGAAGAGATGGCCTGGCAGGTAAAGGTACCTGCTATCAAGCTTAATGATCTGTGTTCAGTCACCAGTGCCAATATTGTAGGAGAGAACCAACTCATTCACATTTTCCTCTAATCTCCACACATGCTCTCTCTCTCTCTCTCTCTCTCTCTCTCTCTCTCTCTCTCTCTCACACACACACACACACACACACACACACACATACACACACACACACACACACACACACACACAAAATAAATAAATAAATAAATAAATACTATCTCATTCTTTCTTTGAATTTTTAACATAAAACTGTGAATATTTTCAGATATTTATTGGCATTATTTATATTTATTTTTATGTACTCATGTTTTTTGCCCATTTTTCTATTGCACTAACATCTTATATATTGGTTTAAAGTAGTCTGTATAAGAAGAATATTCCAAATAAGTTTTCCATTTTGCTATTTGTTTGTTTAAGACTTTCTTTTGGTCATTCAAAACCTGAACAATTTTATATAAAAATTACCAGCAGCTCTTTGTTTCAATCGTGCTTTTCTAAGATTTGCAAATTTGCTAACATTTTCTTAAGAACGTAGTTGAAGTGCTATCACTCTCACAGTGATATACCCAAGTGCATTCTCAGTGTACATGCCTTTGGTGTGTCTCCTCCTTTGTGGACAGCACTTTGCATGTTACATTCTACCATATAGCCATCTTTATTCTCCACACTTCCCTATTTGACATAAGTCCCCAAGAGAACAAATTTCATTTTAAGTATGCATTTGTGTATGCATTCAAGCACCTAGAATATGCCATGCATAAAATGCCTTCTTGGTGAATTGGTCACCTATACCATTTGACGATGTGGGTCTCTTTCAATGTAAGGGTATGTATATATGCATACATATATACATATGTGGATATGTATGTAGATGTGAAATGTATGGGATAGGGTAAGCATCCTTTTAATTAGCATACATTTATGTGAAATTTCATGACAATTTTGTTTTTCCCTAGAACTCGTAGATCAACAGTCTCCGAACCTAACTACATGTTAAACGCCAGCTGCAAGAACAGCCCGGGGAGAGTGAGGTTTCACGACTTGTGACCAGTGGTCAGGATATTCCTTAACAGCCAGGTCAGGCAATGAGGTTCTTAGTGACAGTAGTGGCATGTGTGGAACCATGACACAATGTGGCCATCCTCACCACAATGGAAACAACAAGGCCTTTAAACCTTCCAACAACCAGTCATGATGTCCTTATCTGGCCATCTGACTAGCAATCAGGAAGGTATTGATGGATGGTGAGGAGCTGGTATAAAGCAGCTACCTCAACACACTGCATTATCAGCACAGATAGATTTCCTGCATTCCTCTGCCCACCTGTCCTTGTCTTGGATTTTTGCATTCTAATCTTTCTGCTCTTGTTCTATCTTGAACCTACTCAAATATGGTTTTCATTCCACAAAACTTCTCTTATGGTCATCACCATTGCTAAAGTGCAATGATCATTCCTAAGTTCTCTCTTCCCCTGACCACCAGCAGGTTTGTGGACATCCTTTTATTCCCTGCAGACTGTATGGGCTTTCAGGATACCACACTCTCCTAGTTTTCTGCAGAGTTCAATGGATGGTTCTTCTGATTCTTCCTCACCTTTTTCAGCTCTTCGCATTAGTGTACCTCAAAATGTAGTCACAGAACCCCCATTCTTTCTATCTATCTTCATTTTCATGATGATGCCAACCAGTCTCACAGTGTTCGATACTGGTCTGTTTGCTAAAAGACTCTGAATTGTGTTTCCTCTTGCCATACTTGTAGATCCCACCCCAAGTCAACATCTCACCTGGATGGCTAACAGCATCTTAAGCTTGGTATCCCAAAACTAAAATTCTCATCTTCCCCCAGAACCTGCCCCTGTCCCTACCTCTCCTTGTCAGTAAGTAACAACTCCATCCAGCTAGTTACTCACACCAAATACTGGCTGTCATCCTCACACCTCTCCTTTTCTCCCACTTGTGTGCACTCTGTGAGCAAATCTACTTACAGTCCTTTAGATGCATTCAGAGCCTGACCATTTCTCCTCTGCTACTACCGCATGGAGCAGCTTACTGAGTTCTCTTGCTTTCTATCTCCTTGGGAAGTAGTAGATTGTTAGCTCCAGGGCTCACATGTAGAATAAAGAAAAAGTGTATATAAAGAACTTAGTCGACAGTCGGTGCTCATTAAATGTTAGGTTTGGCTACAATTTTGGCCTTTGTTTTCAAGAAAATTTAGAGATTTGATAAGTAAAATTGAAGTCTTCAACTGTTTGTCACAAAAATTGAATTTTATTCAATAAGTGTGGGTGGTTTGAATGAGAATGGCCCCGTATGCTCATATACTTGAATTCTTGACCCCTAGTTGGTGGAACTGTTTGGAAAGGATTAGATGTAGTCTTGTTGGAGGGGGTGTGTCACTGGAGGAGGATTTCAAGGTTTCAAAAGCTCAATCATTCCCAGTTAGCTCTCCCTACCTCATGCTTGTGGATCAGATGTGAGCTCTCACTGCTGCTCCAGCACCATACCATCTGCCTGCTGCCATGCTTCCCATCATGATAATCATGGACTCCACTCCTCTAGAGCAGTGAGCTCCAAATTAAAATGCTTTTTTATAAGTTACCTTGGCCATTGTGTTTAATAACAGCAAGAGGAAGTAACTAAGAATGTGAAATTTTCACTTTTAAGATTTTAATTAGATGAGTAAAAGAAATGAAGTCTGTAACTATTGATGATTTAGCCCATGCAGAGTAGCAAAATTAACCTCACCCAGCAAAAGTCACAAGTAAAGCCAAGTGGGTGGAGCTCAAAGCATAATGGCAATTTGAGTCATTAGAATTCTTTTCCCTGGTTAAGAGTCATTTTCAGACAATCAGTTTTGCCCAGAGAATAGTTTTTTAATCCAAGCCTTAATTCAATATGAGATTACGCTGCACAGTACAATACAGGTGTGTTTCACAGCAAGGAGTAATTTCAGGGATGTGAGGAACTGTTTCCTCCGTAACAGCTGGGCTCATGCCATCACTTGCATACAACAGCCTCATTATTGTGGAGGATGGGTGTCAGTTGGTAAAATACCTGCCTGCAGGCATGAGGACTTGAGTTTCATTCCTAGAACCCATGTGAGAAAAATGCTGATCATGGTGTTCCTGCTAGTAATCCCAGTGCTGGAGAGGCAGAGACTGGGGCTCACTGGCCAGCCCAGCCTTTCTGGCAAGTTCCAGGCCTCTTACAGACCTTGTCTCAAAAAAAAAAAAGTATATAGCACCTGAGGAACAATACTGAGTTGTTCTCTAGCCTCCATACATGCCCACATGTACACACACACACACACACACACACACACACACACACACACACACACAAGTCTACCATATACTTTGTAATAAAAAGAATGACGAATTACTTTTACTACTAACCACTTTGTAAAAATATTTTGAAACTTAAAAGAGCTAGGTAATAATGACCTTGAAGTGTTTCTTTTAGGGTAGGGAGAATGATCTTAATATGAAGTAAGTTACTTAAATTATTACCTTTTCTTTGTCCATGTGTAATCTTATATTGTACTTGGTAGAATTCTTAGAACAGCATATACAATGTAAGCAATTTGTTTATCATAGTTAATTTTTGTTATATAGAATAATGTCCTCCATTGTGACATTATATGCAAAAGTTGCATTGCAAATGTGTGAACTCCCTTTCTTACCTCTTATGGGATCTTTTAGTAACTCTGTGTTATATACATGCTCATTTCTGTTTGTTTCTGTTTTGTAGGAAAGCCTGGCTAAGCAAGGTTGGGAGTCCTAGTTCTCGCATCGACCGGACAGACTTTTCTAATGAAAAAACCATCTCTAAACTGGAATACTCTAATTTTAGTATTCGATATTAATGGGAGAAAAATAACAATTGTAAAGTTACATTGCAGGAAATAAAACACTTTCTTAAATTTGTAGTAGTAGGATTAAAAAATGGGGACTTTCTGTTCTGGAAACCTCAGAATTATGTTACTAAAATGTCTGAAACTGAAAAACTTTTACCCACCTATGTTTTCAGCAAGAAGAAAACAAATATTATAAAATAAAATGTTGTAAAGTATCAGATTCAGATATGATCATTCAAGTGAAGTATTGTCTTATGGAGTCATTAATTTCAGAAAACATTACAGTATACATGTTATTCGGATAGACATGAAATAAAGTTAGCTATCTAAAATTATCTTTAGGTACTGTTGGCTAATAGGGTGAATTTTAATGTCCTCTGAATAATAAGTTACTATTAGAGTTGAGTAATTTGTATTGTCATTGAAGTCTTAAAAATGGTTAAAATAACTGTATGTGATGATCACTGTAGCCAGAAAGTAACAGCAATAGAGTTAGTGTGCAGAATTCTGGTAAACCCAGGCCTGAGTCAGAACTAAGCCAGAGCTACTTGGCATGTTTGTCCTCATTGTTCTGAAGAGTGGAGAGGCAGGCTGGGTGACAGCACCTAGAAGACCTTGTTTCAGCATAGCAAGCTTCAAGACTTGTATCCACTCCCTCCAGCTGCATTCCTATGACTAAAAACACTGGGAGGCTCTAAGTCACCTAAACTTGGACTATCAATTGGGGGTCTTCAAATGATAAGAAGGCAACATAATATTTGAAGATGAGGGTTAATTTCTATACCATGGAATTGTAATATTGAATAGGAAAGACCTTTAACAGAAAATACTGTTTCAAATGTGTATATAATACATATGTTCTTCAATGATTTCTATATTGGTCTTTCAAGACAGGGTTTTTCTGCATTGCTCTGGAACTTGCTCTGTAGACCAGGCCTCAACTCACAGAGATCTACCTGCCTGTGCCTCTCAAGTGCTAGGATTAAAGGCATGGGTACCACTACCCAGCAATTTTATTTCTTTTTATTGCATTTATTGCATGTGTGCATGCGAATTTGTGTGTGAATGCAGAAATGCTTGTTCCATGATGTGTGTAGAGGTCAGAGGACAATTTTTCATAAGCCATTTCTCTCCTTCTACCTTGTATGTGTGTCCTAAGCTGTCAGGATCATGTAACCAGCGCTTTTATCGCTGTGGTCCTGATTTTCACATTTTTATAATGGAAGTCTCCATTAAAACAGAACTTTATGTAGAATTGAACACATAAAAGAAGTTGATTGCTATGTTTTGTTGTTGTGATTTAGCACAGCTGATGTGATTGAATGGAATGGAGAGGCCCGTTGAGCCTCTCCTTCCTTGATTTCTGGTCTATTTCAAATCCCTTGGAAATGCAGGCTGGAAACTACCATCCTATCCGTGTAGCAGATTCCACTGCTATATGTAGTCTGAGTCATGTGTCTTAGACTGTGCCTCCGTCTCTTCTACCTGCTGTATGGTGAGAACTGAGAAAAAGGAGTAGAGGTGGGATGTCTGTTAGCTTGAAAAGTTCATTCCATGGATTGTAATAACATATCACATGTACATAAGACAGTGCAATGTTGGGAAATGACTTTCTATATAACCTAAAAAGAAAGAAACATTCCTATTATTTGAGACTATCATGATGACAAGCAGTATATTTATTGGGTAGTTTAATTTTATTCTGTTCTATTTCCCTACTCCATGTGAAGGAAAGCAGACATGATTTTGTGTTACCTTTCATTGGGGAGGGTTTTGATGCCAGGTGCATCTGATGACTTTTCTTCTAAGGTTTCATTTTAAGAGAGCATTGCCACTGGCAGCGCATGCCTTTGATCCCACCACTCAAGAGGCAGAAGCAGGCAGATCTCTGAGTTCAAAGCCAGCCTGGTCTATAGAGTGAGTTCCAGTAAAGCCAGAGCTACACAAAGAAACCCTATCTTGAAAAACAAAATGATGGGGGTGGGGGGGGGACACTGTACTGTGGGTGTGGACAAAGATACATACTAGGTCTTCACTGGGTAAAAGAGAAGCAGCAATGTTGAGACCTAAGGGAGCAAAGGATTATCTCAGACTTTGGAAACAGCCAAGAAGTTGCACTTTCCCATGTCATGAAAACCTGTACCTTTCTTCCAGAAGCCCCCCTAGGGAGATCAGTAGGATGCAATAGGCACTCCTGGCCCTACCAAAATTCTTTTTTTTTTTTTTTTTTTTTTTTTTTTGGTTTTTCGAGACAGGGTTTCTCTGTGTAGCTTTGCGCCTTTCCTGGAACTCGCTTTGGAGACCAGGCTGGCCTCGAACTCACAGAGATCCGCCTGGCTCTGCCTCCCGAGTGCTGGGATTAAAGGCGTGCGCCACCACCGCCCGGCCCTACCAAAATTCTTATCCCCAAAGTACTGCAAAGCATCTACAATCACTAAAGTGGCTTAGGTTGTAGTAACAGTAAATGACAGACACTTGAGACCAGAGAGGTCAACCTGGGACACTTTCTCATCTAAGGCCTCTTATGTGTTCCTTCTGAGAAAGAAGGCAACACACATGGAAACAGACTTAACTTCCCAGCTCACAGACAGCAGTAGAAAGAGGAAGATAGATATGTCTCCCCGTTCATGTTTGGAATAAAGATCTGTATTTCTCTGTATATATGAAGGCTCAGTGGTGTAAAAAATATGTGACATTTTACTTATGTCCTTTAGTAGTTCTCTTAACTCTTAAAATAATTACACCTTGTTGAAACAATCTTCTATCTGCACAAAGTAAATCATACTAATGATTAATAAATAAATAAATAAATAAATAACCTCTACTAGTGAGTAGAAATGCTGTAGGTAATGATTGAAGTATATGAATGGGTAGAAAGCAAGATATAGGATAAATCAACATATAAATGTGTTATAGAAACCAGATAACACACCTTAAATTTTAATTCGTTGAATTTCATATTTAATTTATACAAGGATTTTTAATTTATATACAGTATTCCAGATGTTATAATAAGAAAGGTTTATGTCAGAATTAGACATTTTAAAAACCTAGAAAAATTTAAGGGGAAGATACTTAATTCAATGACTATCAACTGGTGCCTCAATACTCCTCATACCCACTCTGCCTGCCCTTTAAGCAACCAGAATCCCAAGCAGCATGACTGACAAAATCATTTTTCATATTTATATAAAAGTTCCTATCTTTTTAAAAACTCAGTCAAGAGGCTGCTGCACTCTTTGGAGGATCTAGGTTCAATTCTCAGCACAGACATTGTGACTCACAACTGTCTGTAATTCCAGTTCAGGGACATACAGGCAAAACAATGCAGACAAAACACTCAAATATGTAAAACAAGGAAAGCTCAGCAGGACTTGTTGACAGGAGAGGGAGTATGGTAGAGAATGCCTCTTATGCAGCAGGAGATACCCAAGGAACAGAAGAAGAAAGCTCTCAACTGTTTCTATCAGGAGGGGCATGAACCCAGGGTTCATCTAAAACTAGCAGGTGTGCTGTGAAGGCTGGCAACAATGCCCATTAATATGATTTTGTTGGAATCTGCTGACCATTATGACTTTTTAAAAATATTATTTTATTCTCCCTTCCCATTCCTCACTCTAAACCCTTGCATATACCTCCGCCGACTCTCTTTTAAATCCATGACCATTTTTTTTTCATTAATTGATGTTACATAAAACACGTTATGACTTTTTTGGAAATATATGTGTTACAAATATGGTTTATACATTAAGTCTCGCCATGACTGTGGATACAGGTATCAGAAAATGTTCACCCTTCTGTAAAAAGAAAGGCTTCCCTTGAGGAACTAAACACGGCATATCAGAGACTTTGAGTGGTTCAGGAGGCCTGCGTTCTGGGCCCAATCCATCCTCTACTTAGCAGTGTCCTGGGATCCTCAGCTGCAACATCTAGAAGTTAGATCCTTCCCAGATGCAGGTGAGCCAGAGGACATCCAGGGGTGATGGAGGGAAGCCAGAGAAAGCCATGAAAAAGATGTGGGTTAGTTCTTAGCCTCTGGTGCTGATCCAGCCAGAGCAGAGCCACCCCTCAACCCATCCATGTATTAGGATTGCCCTGGACATTTTGTAAGCCAAATCCTGGGCCTGGGGTGCAGCTCAGGTAGAGCACTTGCCCAGCATGTGCAGGCCTGAAACAGTACCCTAGAGATGCAAACAAAACCAAAACAACCAAGACCTCAGGTTTAGTAACTTAGGAGTTTTCTAAGTTTTGCTCTGATTGCCTCTGTCAGGCTGACATAGTATGTAAACTGAACCATAAGCCATTTGTATTGAGAATACACATGCTATGCAGAAAGCACTATAGCAAACAAATTCTTACTTCTTACAGTAGTCTCCAAGTTTGTTTTTATGTTATCTCTTATTTCTGTTTTTATCTTAACAAAGATGGAAATTATGCAAGAAGAAATACAAATATGTAATTAGTGGTTAATTTTTAAATGTTTTTTAAATTTATAAATGTTTATACATTTATAAATGTCATAGCAATTTCTAATATTTAGATCTTGGATAGGAGGTAGCTTTTTCTTAATTAATTCACAGGTCTCTGTCGGGGAATGCTGTTTTTGTTTGTTTGTTTTATTCCTCGTGTGTGCTAGGTAAACTCTACCACTGAACCCTACCTCTGGCTATGGTTTGTGATTGACAATAAAACCAAGTTCTGATGATTTTTTTTAAATTAAGATTTAAAAGTCTAGTTCTTATGTGAGCCCATCAGCAGGTTTTCAACAGGAAGTGGTTTATTTTCCCCTTTTAAGGGAATCTGGATTATCTTTTTTCTCTGCTAGAAAAAAAAATCAGTATGCATTCTGGTTAGATATTCCAGATGCATCTTTCATCTTCAAAGTACATTTTTATTTTATGAGTTTTATTTCCACTTTTCATGATAAATGCTGAAAGTAACAATAAATATAGTCTCTCTCTCTCCCTTTCTTCCTTCCATTTCCCTCCCTCCCTCCCTCCCTCTTCATTCTTCACACATCTTAGATGATGTCTGGAGGAAGTCAGAAGACTCAGGAAAGAGATGTTAGAGTGGAGTTTCTATTTCAGAACTCTAAAAAGTGAAATTTATTGTTGTGAATAATCTTTTTGTACAGTGTGAAGATGTGTCTTTGTTTTAGCTCATCTACCTAAGGCACCTTCTGATTGGGTTAATAAAGACCTGAATGGCCAATAGCTAG